ATTGAAGCAAGGAACGCCTGCCATAAAGCGTAGCGCGCGCACGTAAACAAGCACTACAAGGAAAGTACGCCTGTTATATCTTAGATTACGTGCAATAAAATCGAAGATAAACCAACACAATCAAAATTTTAACGTGCTCCCTTGAGCAAATTACATAATTTTTTTGTTTTTCAATGCTCGTGCTTTCAGGTTTGTGCGCGCGATCCTTTTGCTCGCGCATATGTACAACGTTTGATCGCGTAGTTTTTGTTAATATTGTAACGTATTTTAGTTCCTCTGAGGATGACCGTGTCGGTCGAAAGCTAAGGAAAATATAAAATTATTTTAAAAGGTTGATGAGTCAATTTTAGTTTCATAAGACAAAGCTCTTATGAAATATAGATTACTTTGATATTTAATATCAGGAAATGAAATGCTGACGTTCCATGTGGGATAGTTTCTAGCACTTGTTGACGCCGTGAGGACCCACTGTGCATGCGCACACTCGAACATGGGTTTATCTTCAGATTATTCATATCAAAAGAATCAAGGAAAGATGCAAGTTGAAGTAAAATTATATAATTAACGCCTGAAATAAAGTTTCAATGAGTCAACCTTTTTTTCCTGATGTATTAAATGTAAACAAAAACGCTTATCTACAACGTCAACATTTTGATTTTTCTGAAGACTCATAGATCGAGCCGGACGCATCGAAAAAAGCTATTTTAATTAGAACTCAAGAAGAGATTCTGATTCCAAGCTCGGGAGGATTTTGTTCTGCATAGAGACAGCTCATAGTCACGGCGGTATTCAGCAAAAAAATCTTATAAACTCGATCTAGCGAAGTTTCTAAATATTACTAATCAACAGTTGTGTTTACTAAGTGACTTCTTAAGGAAATAATCAATGTAATAGCTAAAGAAGAAAAAAGAACAATTCCAATGGAGTTTTGGAGGAAGTTCGGCCAGTTTTTTCATTTAAATAAGCCGTTCTGAACAAAAAGTAGATTGATCGCCACACATTACAAGATTACAAACTGCCGAAGCAAATGCTCAGATCAAATGTTGAAATGTGCGAAGGAAATAATCATTAATTTAAAGACTTGGATGAAAACAAAATAAATAGCATTTCTAAAGCGTATTTCTATAAAATATTTGCCTAGTTCACAGTGTAAATAAATAGTTTCATTTGAAAATTTCAGACAACAAATGTAGGAGCCGTGACTTGAAGGTCAAGATAAGTAGTAATGTAAATTAACACGCATAGAGTGCAAAGAATTAATCCGTGAAACACTAATTACTAAATAGTACAAAATAGTGCTAATTAAACAATAGAAAACAATGGAATTTGCATGAAATTGTGCTATTTAGTACTGCTAAAATTTCACGGATATATTGTATGCACTCTAACGCAACGCTTTATGTTGATCGTCCCGATATTGTATCATAATGCATGAGTCATTTGAAAGCCCCGCACCCCCTCTTCGGGCATTACCGGGGCCAGACCGGGGCTTTCGCGAGGAATTCACTGTATTTGAGCGCTCTGGTAGGCGGGAGTATGTACTCATTGACTGAGTGGGAGGGCCGGACGGGAAAATATTTGGCTCGAGGTCATGTCGTACGGACTGAGCGCAGCGAGGTCCGTACAAATGACCTCGAGCCAAATATTTTCCCGTCCGCCCCGACCCAACTCAGTCAATAAGCATTCTATCATATGACCCAATTTTTATCGTAAAAAAAGGCTGAAAGATCTTGCTAAACTTGATAAATACAGCGCGCGTAAACGAGAACCAATAGGATAATTCCTTTTTATTTGATTGAGAAGAAGCCATTGTAAACACGAGGCACATTTCAAGAAGTAAAATTGTTTTTAATACATTGAAAGTTTTAAGTTGTTTTAATACACTTCGCAAACAACTGTCTAGTTTTAGTTTCTCTTTCTTGGAACCACTCTACATACTTTTCGCCATTTATTTCATCTTTCTTCAAAAGTACGTCTCCAAACTTCAGCTGTCTCGCTTCGTATCGTGCTCTATGACCAAAATGCAAAGTAATCAAGAACCACATAGTACGGGAAAGGATCTCTGGATCATGGACTCCAAACTCGTTTTCATTAAAAATAGCATCAATATCTTTGCTTGTCAGAGGAGCAGTAGCATTTGGCTTGTTTCCTTTGCCCTCTTTTCTTAATTCTCGTCGTCTGGACATCAAGGCTTGTCTGGAAAGCTTAAACTCTTCATCTTTTAAGATGTTTACTTTTGCATTTTTATCGTCGAGGTATCGCTGGATACTTCTTGAAAAGGACGACATTGTATCAGGTTCGTACAAAGTATTGTCTTTCTTTTTTGCCTTTATGTAAAAGTTGGAAAGAAGACTGTCAAGTTGAGGCGGAGGGATATTCTCAATTTCTCTTTCTTCACCACATTCTTGTAAAAAGCGCTTCAGTACGTTCATGTCATACTTAGTTTTGTTGATTGTACTTGTTTTCTGTTGTGCTCGGATGTATTTCTGTATTTCACCGTCATTGAGCAGATTTGACTCAAAATATGTAGCTTACTGAGCCAGTTCAGTGTCAGATATCTCGTCTGGATAGTAGAATTCGCTTTCGTCGTGTTCGCTTAAATTGTCAGTCATTTTAGCTTCTTTTTAAATGAAATTTAATGGTTACATCCGAAGAGGGCCGGACGGATTTTGAGCAAGGCCGGACGGGTTTTTCCGGCCCGCTTACGTCAACCCGTCCGGTCCCCATCACTTGACTTTTTCCAATGGTTTTATTAGAGCGCGCGAGCAGGGCCGTACGGGTCATATGATAAATACGCTTCTTTTCACTGCTTTGCATCACGGAGTCATATCTGGTCAACGGATAATTTTTTAATTTTGATCAGCGGTTTTGAATTTTTATCGCGCCATTAAGATCTTTCTTCGGTACTTTGACTTGCTTTAGTATGCTTTGTAATAAGATAGTATTTAAAAAACAAAGAAGGCAGTGGTCGCCGAGACCTTCCTGGAGTTGGTGATAAAAGGTGAGTAAATTTTGCTGTAGTTAAAATATCCTTTACAAGTTTAACTTCAGTCTTGTCAATCAGCTTTTGTAAACATACCGCGAAGATTTAGGCTTCAATCTATCGATTGTTGTTTTTTATATAGCAAAATACTTTGGTACCATACCACAGCAACAAACAACAATATTATGATTGTACATCTTTTTCAGATTGCAAGCAGAAAAGAAAAAGACCTGCTGATGGCAGTCATACGTAGATAGTTGGGTATAATTAGTACTTTTGTCCAACATTTACATGATATTCAGAGTTTGGTAGCTTTTAGAATAACAGTGACAATGACAAATTAGCCAGTTACCATATTTAATTCAGTTTACAATTAACTCAGTTTACTCCATCGAAGTCGTAGTCGAAGTCGTCAGTTCGTATTAATTTAAGTTCAGACGGAATTCATCATAGAATTCGCTTCCAAACTCAACAAAATAGCAAACAACTAGGTGTTAAAAGGAAAATAAAAGGGACGATTACTCATCTTACTAGATAAATTGAGTATTTATAATATTAAGTCGAGCGAAATACTTGGAATCCTTTGAGAATATCAACAGCAATCTTCGAAAAGTGCAACGAGTATCCACGAGTTCGCCAAAGGGCGTTTGATTTTACGTTCCCCGCATAACTAAAATCCTGTAGAATGCCAGTCACAATGCCGATCACGTGACCTCTTAGTTCAATCCCCTATTACTGATTTTCGATAAAGCCTTAAGCCAAAAGAAAGAACGACCAAGAAAAAACGAAAGAAAGAAAGAAAGAAAAAAAACTGAAGAAAGAAAGTAAGAAAGAGAGAGAGAGAGAGAGAAATAAAAGAAAAAGTAACCACAAAGAATCACTAAGTTATCAGAGGTGAAGTGAAAAGAA